CCTGACCTGGACGACTGGATTCTGATCCTGAATGGCACTCTGTTAAACTCACCCACTACTCCTCGGACACTCTAGAAAGGATCGCTATGAGTTGGAGCTGACTTGATGGCACTTTACAACAACAGCAACAATTTCACTGACAAACCCCATAATCATGAGTACTGTCTATGAGTTCTATATGCTACTGCAATGGAATATCAAACCCAGCAGAGAAGTAGAAAATGCTGTGGGAGAGACAGCTGGTGTCAGAATTGGTAAGAAAAGTTGGAGGGTGAAGGTACCACCAGTTTGTCAAATGTGTGTCTTAGTATACAGAATACACTCAGACATTCGCCTCATAGGAATTGGTCTTGGCCTGGTGCTTCTCCTCCTTCCACCTTGTGAAGTCAGATGAGTTCAGACACCTCTCCACACCAATTTACAATCACCCATGGTATTTCCAATCACCTCATGTGCATGCAGAAGTTGAACAATGAATTAAGGAAGTCTAGAAGAATCGATGCATTTAATGTTGGAGAAACATTAAAATTATCACAGACTGCTAGAAGAACAAATAAATGTGTTGGAAGAAGTGCAGTGATAATGCTCCTTAGAAATCAGAAGAATGAACTGCATCTGTCATACCTCAGGCATGTTACTAGGAGGGTCAGCAAAACAGAGGATGACCACCAAGGAGATGGATGAACATGCAGCAGCAATGGACTACAACATAACAATGTGAGGACGGTGCAGGACTGGACAGTGTTGATCTGTTGTGCTTGGGGTTGCTATGTGTCAGAACCAACTCAACTGCACCTTAACAATAACATGGTACAGAGGTTTCATTTTAGTGGTACTTCCTGACTAAGGCAGACTAGAAGTAAGGAGTTAGAGATCTATTTCTGAAAAAAAAATGGCCCCTGAAAACCTTATAAATAACAGCAGAACATTTTCTGATATAGTGTTGAAAGACGAGGCCCTCGTGTTGAAAGGCACTCAAAATGACTGAGGAAGAGCTTCCTCCTCAAAGTACAGTTGACCTTAATGATGTGGATACAGCAAAGATTTTGGGACTTCATCTGCTGATGGGACACAACTCTTAATGAAAAGAAACAGCTGCAAACATCCATTAATAATCAGAATGTGAAATGTGTGAACGTATGAATCCAGGAAAACTGAAGCTGTCAAAATCAAAAAGGAATACCTAAAGATCAATATCCTAGGCATTAGTGAGCTGAAATGGACTGACGTTGGCCATTCTGAACTGTACAATCATCAACTGTACAATTGTACCATCAAGGAGCTCTGGTAGCATAGTGGTTACATGTCCGGCTGCTAACCTCAAGGTCAGCAATTTGAAACTCCCAGCTGTTCCGTGGGAGAATGAGGCTTTCTATTCCAGTCAAGATTTACAGCCTGAGAAACCCTATACAGGGTTGCTATGAGTCGGACCCAACTCCACAGCACATAACCACCACCACCACAGTCTGCTATCAACACGTACCCTGAAGTATAATACCTGCAAGGAAGACCAGTTAACAGGACTATTACTCAAATTGTATAGCAACCACTAATGTAAAAGATTCAGAAATGGAAGATTTTTACCAACTTAGGCAGTCTGAAATGGATCAAACATGCAATCAATATGCACTGATAATTACTGGTGACTGAAATTAGAAAGTTAGAAAGAAAGAAGGATCAGTAGTTGGAAAATATGACTTTGGTGATAAGAACAACACAGGAGATAACATGATCTTACAAGAACAACCACCTACTCATTAGAAATACCTTTCAACAACATAAATGGCAACTATACCTATATAAGGAGGGGCCCTGGTGGTACAGTGCGTTAAGTGTTGGGCTGTAACCTATTACCTGCTCTACAAAAGAAAGATTTACAGCTTTAGAAACCCAGTGGAGCAGTTTTACTCTGCCCTCTAGCCTCACTATGAGTCAGAATTGACTCAACAGCAGTGAGTGAGTTTTGATATGTACGTGGATCTCACCAGATGGACTATACAGGATCCAACTGACTATATCTGTGGGAAAAGACAATGAAGACTGAAGCTCACTCTAATCAGTCAGAACAAAGCCAAGGGCCAAATGCTGAATATACCCTCAATTGTTTATATTCAAGTTGAAACTGAAGAACATTAAAACAAGTTCACAAAAGCCAAAGTGCAAGCTTGAGTATATCCCACCTGAATTTAGAGACCACCTCAAGGACAGATTTGACTCATTAAACACTAATGACGGAAGATCAGAAGAACTGTAGGATGACATCAAGGACATCATACGTGAAGAAAGAAAAAGATCATTAGCAAGACAGGAAAGTATGGTAGAGAAAAGATGACTCTTCAAAAACCAGTGCTTAGTCAATGAGATAAACACATAGGGAAAAAATCACCTAGAATATTACAAATAAATAAAGCAGTGAAGCCATGAAGCCTCTCAGACAAAAAATAAGTAAAATGAACAATTTAAAGAGACAGGCAAAGATTTCTTAACCAGAGCACACAAAATAATCATCATAAAGAAAAAATTTGATAAATTGTAATACACTAAAATTAAGAAATCTTCATCATGGCACATTATTTGGGAACTTCTTAAAACATATGGTCTAATTCACCTAATCCCATTTATACAGCATTCAAAAATCTGCTTTGATGTTTGTAAATAAAATGAGTAATATTTTGATGAATAGCATTAAAATCATTAATCTCAAGAAAGGTTCAAACAATAATGATTTTTATTAATTTTAATAATTATTGGGAACTTAACCAAGATAAAAAAAATTAATGTGAATGCAAAATAGCATTCATTGCTCATCCACATTTGAAAATGCAGTTTTACTTCTAATGGCAAATCCTGCTAGTAATACTCAGTTATCATTAGTGATTAAAAACTACAGCCAGGTATGAAGTACCCTGTTAAGTAGTCATGAACAAAGCCATCTAAAATAAGAGTAAAGGCCCAGAGCTGCACTCTCAGAATGGCAAAAATAAGCTATGTGCAGTATCAAAAATAACCTAACAGATATTTTCCATACACAGTAATAATTTTGTTCTATATCTCATTTTTCCATATATTTTTTTTACCACTAGTCTGTCAAGTTGTCATACTTTGGTGGCATGTGTGTTAGTATGATGCTAGATGCTCTGCCACCTGTAGTTCAAATAACAGAAGGGTATTTGAAAAGTTTCAGTGGTGCTTCCAGACTAAGACAAGCTAGGAAAACAGCACTAGCATCTACTTAAAAAATTAGCTATCAAAACCCTACAGATCACAACCGAATCTTACCTGACACTGTGCTGGAAGATGAGCCAGCTAGGTTGGAAGGCACTTAAAATATGCAGTGGCTGTCACAATGGACTCAAGCATACCGCAGTGTAGTGACTTATGTAATATGGCCCTTCTAGCCACGGTCTCTGAGACTCCCACGCAATGACAAAGTGGGATTATGCAAATACAGTGTTTGTGGCCCACCAACAGGATTACATAGAAGGCAAATCAGGTACATGGAACCCCTGTAGAAGTGGCCCTCTCTATATAAAGGATATGAAACCCTAACAAAGGGGTTGTTCAGTTTTGTCATCTCGTTTGGCTTAAAAAAGAAAGTCAATCCTAGAGTAAGGGGTCAACCTCATTAACATCAAGAAAGAAGAGCTACAAGTGAAGTTCACCCTTTAGATCCAAAATCCTTGCTCTGAGACCATCCTAGACACAGAAGACGGAGAAAGAACTGTAACACTAGAGACACTGAGAAGCAGTGGCAGAGAAACAGTGACAGCAGAGCCAGCAGAGCCAGGATGCCAGCATGAGAAAGCAGAGTCGGTTTCTTGACCCAGAGAGCACCTTCAAGCAAGAGGCTCATTGATGGAGTGAAGTGCTTCCAAGCAGTTGGTGAAGTTACAATTGCCAACACATGAAGCTAGAGACTGGGCACCTTTGAGACAGGCTTACTCGTGGAGAGGGGTGCCTCTGGGCACTTACTGATGGTGCTAAGAAGCTTAGTACCACTTGCTGGAGCAGGGCAAAAGCCAAGCTTGCCCAAGAGGTCGAGGGTCATGGGACTGAAGGCCACAGGGAAACCTGATCCTGAATTGTAACCTGTTACTTCCTTTTAAAACCCCACAATTTTAAGTATGGTTTGTGAGATCTGTATGGCCACTTCAATGAATTATCAAACCCAGCATATGAGAGTGTCAAGGGGCAGTCAACTGGTGTCACAATTGAAAAAAAAAAAAAAAAAAAAGTTGGAGAGAGGAAGTGTCTCTAACTTCCACCTCACAGGAATCAGCTTTGGGCTAATGCTGGTGGTGATTCTCTCTCCCCTCATGAATTCAAAGGTGGTCAGATCCCTCCATCACGTCATATTTACACATACCAACAATTGTGCAGATGGCCGAGGACCAAGCAACATTTTGTCTGCTGTATATGGGATCGCCATCACAACCACCACCACCAGTGAGTTAAACAGTAAAACTCCGTCCGCTCAGCCAATTTTGGCCAAGTGGGCAAAAACAGCTATATATCCACCTTTACTCAAAAAGATTCCTCAGAGCAAAGAAACAGAAGAGTGAAACAGAGATAGCATTAGCTTTGCAGACAGCACAGCTACAAAAGGAAAGGCGGGGGCTCTTATATATGGGTTTATTTTTTCATTTAATTTATATAGCTCATGTCTGTAATTTAAAAAGAATGTATAAAAAAAATTATCTCCTGTAGAAGATTAAGACTTTAATATAACCTGAGAATCATCGTAATCTTATGCATTTGGTCTAAAGCCCAATACAACAGTCTAATATATGCAGGCTAATTAAATTAGTATCTTTAATCATGGATTCTTTTAAGGTCATAATCTTAAAACTTCTACAGGCTAATGAAAATTGTATAAAGCATTTGTACAGCCCAACTCTCTTTCTCTACCCATGTCAAATACCAAAACAACAGAAATCTATCTTTAATTCACTTTGTAAAGGATACAGCATATTCTCAACTATTACAAGTATTGCACTTACCTTGGCAGCAAGCTGTAGTCCAATTTTGTCAGCCTCAGCTTCCAGTGTTCTACTATACGGTCTATTAAACATATACTGAGGAGAAATAGGAAAGGAAAGCTCTATTAAGGCAGTTTATGTCGTGACAAAAGGGTAATAAAATTAGACTTCAAAAAATTAATTTCATGCAGATCTAGGATAAAGTTTTTATATTCTCTATGATTAACATTTAAAGACCACCCCAGTATAAAACAAAGTACGGCATTTATTACCTACATCAGAAATTGATACTTTAGAAATATGGGTGAAAAAACAGGAAAAAAATGCCTATAAATGTCTTAACAATCTACTGTATCATATATAGTTCACTTCCATTTTTCTAATTACAATCGTTACCTAATGTGAAGAGGTTTCCCTAAGAAATTTTATTGATTCAGGTTTTTAATATAGCCAAAGAACATGTGATCTTCTGGTTTTAAAATAAAACTGAAAACCAGAGGTGTAACAGCCAGTGACACTAATAGGGGATTCATTTTAGTTAGAAAATTAACCACATGGCAAAAAGTTAGTTATTTGACAAATTATCTTAATTTACTCTTTTTTCCTACCAAATATTGATTAGTTAGGAAAATGAAATTTTCTTCTGACTTCAATGAAAGAAAAAACACAAACAGATATTGTAACTTTAATTTTCCTAATTACTTCTATTGATATGAACGCTTTCCAGTTAAATTCTAATTTCTGTAAGGACTAAAACTTTGTGGGAGATGGGTCGATAGGCAGGACTTTTGAGAAAAGAGCTATTAACTGGGAAGGCAATTTTTCAGAGGTGGCTACATGGCAATGATGGCTAGAAGTAACAGAATCAATGTGGTCCACAATATACAACCATTAGATCATACCTTCTTCCTTCTTAATCACATCTGTATGTATATACTACATACAGATCTGTATTTTTCATTAGTAGTTTGCAAGTGTCCCATCAAGACTACTGATAATACACTGCCTTAAAAACATGGGCTTTAAAAGAAAAGAAACTTAACCAAAGCCTCATGGAACAACTCAGTCAACTGGCATCAAAAAAATTCATAAAGACAATGTTCTACATCCTAGCTTAGTGAGCAGTGGCTGGGTTCATTAAGTATTTCAAGAACGAAAAAGTGATACAACTTATCTTTCTTATAATCAAATCTGAATCCTTTACACAAAAAGCAATCTACTGGTTGTTGTAGTTGTTGTTAAGTGCCGCCAAGTCGGTTCCAACCCATTGCTGTTGTTGTTATGTACTGTGGAGTCAGTTCTGACTCATAGCAATCCTGTACAGGGTTTCTGAGGCTGTAAATCTTTATAGGAGCAGAAACCCTCATCTTTATCCCACGGAACAGCTGGTAGTTTCAAACTGCTGACCTTGTGGCTCACAACCCAATTTGTAACCAATACATGCCGCCGGTTTCAACCCATAGCGACCCTGTATAGGGTTTCCAAGGGGCAGCTGATGAGCTTGAACCACCGACTTTGAAGTTCAAATGGCTTTGCAGTCTGATGCATTAACCCACAGCACCACACCAGGACTCCCAATCTACTGGTAGATGGGAAAAAATCTAAAGTAAGTCCTCTGACTTCTCAGCAGAAACAAAATTCAAAATATGATAGCCTACAACCTAAAACAGGAATCCGGGTGGTGCACTGGTTAAATGCTCAGCTACCAACTGAAAGGTCAGCTGTTTGAACCCACCAACCCAACCCAACAAACTGACCAATTACTCTAAGGGAAATAGTTTGGGTTATAATCTAAGCAATAACCATTCTTTCTTTTTCCCTTTAAGAATCTTAACTGCAATATAAAGGAAGCCAAATGCTATGGCAAAACTGAACAGAAGACTTAGTTACCCACTTTCAAAAGCAATTTGTCTGAAAGAATTTTGCACATTAGATTTACAAGCACCCAGATGGCACTCTGATGGGTGCTCCATAAAACATTAAATAAACAAGTAACAGATTGTTCCAAAATAACCAAACCTCCCAAGACAAGGGGAAATATTTGAAGAAAGATATAAAATAATTAATCATGGTTAACAAAGCAATTATCAAGATTGCAAGACCTACTTTCAGTAGAGCAGTGTTCTGAACAAAATGAGAGACGCACCAGATTTTATGAGATGATTATCATTATACATATGCACCAAAGACAAAAGTTAACAAAAACCTGCTAGAACTGCCCTTTTAGTATTTTCTAAGCAATGTTAGTTTAACTGGGAATGAAAAAAGAGGAGCTAGAGCAGCTTCAGCCAATCCAGTACCCATAAAAATTTATAAGTTTTAAGAGCTCCCAATCAAAATAAAAAATATTATAGTGAAGGAGGGTTCATTAAGTTAGTGCACCAAAGTTATAATGAGAAACAGAAATGGAAATTAGGAAGGTAAAGGGACACAAGGAAAGGATGGGTTGGTGATTGGGCTTTCTCCCAGTAAAAACTGAATGATGCAAAAAAACAAAAAACATTTATATGAAGGAGCTCTGGTAGCATAGTGGTTAAGAATCGGACTGCAAATCTTAAGGTCAGCGGTTCGAAACTATCAGCCGCTCCGCGGGAGAAAGATGAGGCTTTCTACTCCTGTAAAGATTTACACCCTCGGAAACCCTGTACAGAGTCGCTATGGGTCGGAACCGACTCGACGGCACTTAACAACAACAACAACAAGTTGCAAGCCCTTCTAACCCACCTATAGTCACTACTTCTTAATGCAAATGTTCTTAGATAAGATTAAACAAATCCAGAACTCATTGCCATTGAGTTGATTCTGACTCAGTGACCCCATACAGGATTTCTGATACTTTAAATCTTTATGGAAGCAGACAGATTCATTTTTCTCCCTTGGAGTAAGTGACTGGTGGGTCTGAACCAACCAATGCCTAACCCACAGCACAATCTCCCATGGCATTGGTGGTTTAGTGGCAGAATTCTCACCTGCCACGTGAGGCCCAGGGTTTGATTCCCAGTCAATGCAGTGTGTTACTTGGAGTTCTGGTGAGACGCTGTGGGTTAATGCGCCAGACTGCAAAGCCATTTGAACTGCAAGGTTGGCGGTTCAAGTTCACCAACTGCTCTTTGGAAACCCTACACAGGGTCGCTATGTATATATATATTCTTACCATTCAAGTTATCGTCTCCAACTTACCTCCTGCAATTTAGACTGTATCCACTGGCCCAAAAGTGCCAAACTATCTCGAGGACAAATGGCCCATATCATTGTGAGAAAAATCAAACCCAGGAAATCCAATAAATGACCCAAGCTAGCCTTTTCTGCCTGAGAATAATAAAAATAATGAAAATAATATTTTTAAAAATTTACAGTTTATGTTTACACTTTCTAGTTCATTTAAGTATAATCACAATAATTACATGCATTTAACTGAACTTTGCCAACAAATACTGCAAGTTCTCTTTTTTCCTATATGTTATCCTTTCATGGTCTGTTTTCCCTTCCTTTGCCCGCCAGCACTGGACTAGTAAACAGTTCAAACCTACCACCAGCCATTCTAGGAAACCCTATACAGGGTTGTTATGAGTCGCTACAAACTTGACAGCATACAACAAAAACTAATGTACTGAGATATTCACTCTAAGTCAGATATAATGACAGGTATATTACCTTGCAGTGTCTTATTTTAACAAATATAACAATCTTGTGAAATAGGTACAATTATCCCTATTTTATAGATAATTAAACTGAAATGGAGAGCGTTAAGAGAGTAGCCCAAATTCACAAACCTGTTAGTAAAAGGCCCAGGAATCAAACCTCAGCAGTTCTAGTTTCTAATACAGTTGCTCTATATTAAAATTAAATAAACATGTTAATTATTTCATACTCATGGATAAAAACTGAACACTATTTAACACATGAAGTAGCTAACACATGGAACAACTTCCAAATCCATGTACTCTTCTTTTCAGAAAAAAGATTGGAGTGCTTTACACCAGTCTTTTGATATTGGCGATTCAGTAAATGGTGCATGATTCATTTACACAAATATGCATTTTACAAGTCAGGTGTTTCACCCTAGAGAATCAAGATCTGTAAGTTTCTGCATTTACTTATACTACAAACCAAAAAGCATTCTTTTAAAACCATCGTTTTGAGAAGTAATATATAAACATAACTTTAATTCACTGAACTGTTCATTGTTTATTATCAAAGATGATTAATAAATGTTAATGTAATGCTGATACTGATAATGTTGTTGTTAAATGCCTTTGAAACGATTCTGACTAATGGTGACCTTGTATAAGGTTTCCGAGAAACAGCTGGTGGGTTCAAAAAGCTAAACTGATGATAATATAACAGGGAAAACTTTAAAAATCTAGAAAGAAATGTTTCTTAACTAATACGTAATAAATACAGAAACTGAAATTTAAAAAAAAAGAATACTTTTAACAACATAATCTGCTCTTAAGACCAATTTTGCTTAATTATAAGAACTACATGTCACGAAAAACAATGATCAATTATGGAATTATTTTACTATAAAAGAGTAAAACTAAAATACTGAAGTCATTATAGAAGAACAAATCCTTCTTGTTGCTGTTGTGTGTCACTGAACTGGTTCCAACTCACAGAGGACCCATATAGGGTTTCCGAGGCTGTATCTCTCTATGGGAGCAAAAAGCCTCAACTTTCTCCCACAAAGAAGCTGGTGAATCCAAACTACTGACCTTGTGGTTAGCAGTCTAACTGTTAAAGAATATAACTGCTATTAGATATTAGAAATAAACACACACAAAAGTGTTTTTGTAGAATAAAGAACACAACATAAAAGAAAAACTAATTAGATTAAACTTAAGACTCTCAAAAGGGAAAATAATGTATTGCTAGTGATTAACATCATGCTTGGCAAAGTTGAGGGTGAGGGAAAAAGAACAAGAGCCCCAATAAGATGGACTGATACAGTGGCAGCAGCAATGGGCTCAAGTGTAACAATTGCAAAGATGGTGTAGGAGTGGCAGCATGGTACAGAGTTGCTGAGTCGGAACCAACTTAACAGCACCTAACAACAACAAGAACGCCCAAGACCTTTGTTACAGAAACACTAATAACCATTTTCTATTTTTACGACTCTAGTTTAAGTGTTGAGTTTGCTAACTGAAAGGGTGGCAGTTCAAATCCACCAGCCATTCTGTGGAAGAAGGATGAGGCATTTGACTTCCGTATGGAAGCAGTTCTACTCTGTCCTATATAGGGGCACTATGAATCAGAATTGACTTGACAAGAGTGAGTTTATTAATGCTCTTAGGAATAAGTAGAATCAACATCATTGCTTCCATTAAAGTTAATGTTATTTCCATTCTTCTGATTTAGTATTTCACAATCTCTTCACTATTTACCTTAGTGTTTTCAGTACTTTTTTTTAAAAAAAGCAAACTTTGTCCTAATTATGTGGCAATAAGAACTATTCATATTTCTAATGAATAATACTTTAAATAATCTAGTCAGATAATTAACTCTAAGAAAGTGATATTACTATTTAAATGAGTAAATCAATTTTCTTGCTAAACAAACACATGCTGCTTTGCTGGACCAAAACCAATTCAAAAAACATGTATTCACATGACCTATATCCTATAAGAAAAGTGCTGCCAATAATCAGGTAAATGTAGTAAAAGAAATATTAGACACTAGACTTAGATACAGAAGAGCTAGGTTAAAGTCCCAATTCTGCTACTGTGTCATATTGGTCATGTTACTTAAAGTCTTTTTAAACATCATTTTCCTTATAGATAACATAGGAAAAGTACCATGCATGAAAAGGTACACATTCAAATTGTTCAATAAACTGTCAAACAGCAATGGATCATTATTACTTTGTATTACTTATATATGGAATATAATTCTAGACATTTTTCAATGAAACTTGAAGTTACTTTTTGAGAATGAATAATAAAAGGCAGGAAAACTGATTTACTCACTTAAACAGTTATATCACTTTCTTATCACCAATTTTTGATGAGATTACATTAATAATTATGGGAAGTTTAAAATCAAATAATTAGAGGCTGAGAATAATTGCTTTTTAGCAAGAGACAAGTGATAAAAATAGTATTTAAGAGAAACACTAATTATTCAGTATCAAATAGTAAAGACCATAAATATTCTCAAAATCAGTCAATCACTTTATGGTAGGTGACAAAATAAGGCAATTTCTAAAAAGTATATTCCATCAATTCAAAGAAAATAAATCTGAAAAGGCTCAGTTCTTTTAACAAGATTTAACTTGCTGACTTCAAACATTATTTCAACAATGAAACATTTATTTTAGGTACTTACAGCATGCTCAAGTACTGCATGAGCAATTTCATGGCCCAGAAGGAAGGAAAGTTGATGAATATCATTTACACTATTTAAAAGCCCAGTGAAAACAAACACTTGTCCATTCTGCACCATAAAGAAAATAATGTAAGCAATTAGAGCACCATAAAAAATAAGGACAATAAATTTAACAATAAAATTTGTTTGAGAACATTTACTTACTGGAAGTACAAAAGCATTTATTTGTGGAGAATCCACCACATGAATAACCCAATTGATCTCCGAGATTCCCGGGACATCTTTATTGCATTCAATTAGATGATTAACTACTTTTTTAATGGTCAGGTATCTTGCGTCTTTCTCAGTTAGCATATCATTTTTAAATTCTTCTATCCACTGAATGAGTAAAAAGAAAAATATTCTTTATCAAATTAAAGGCATTTTAGCTTTGCAGAAATGTTTATATTGCTTTATGGAGAGTTACATGGCTACTTAACAGTGAACATTTCCATTTTTAGTTATGTAAAAAATCTACACATATTAACCACGCAAATTTCTCCAGTTTGAATTATTTTCACAATACAATGTGGTTTCTCACAAATGGAAAGAAATTCAAATAACTAGACTGATTGAACTAAGAAAATGATTTACCTTTTCCATTAGCCTATACACAAATTAAGGAAAAATGCTTAAATATTTTTTCTACTTTATAAAACAAAACCTTGTCTACAGAATGTAGATTTCACTTAAGAAAGTAAAATACAAAACTATGGCAACTGGGTTAAAAAAAATCTACACTTAATAAAAATGTTGACTTTAAGAAGACATTTCATTCATTTTATTTTATTCATACAAATGGCATCTCTGAAATTTCAGAGCTACTGAGCACACCTTTTTTCTACTTGATGCTGATTAAGACTAGCCATCATATGAAAAAAATTTTTCTCAAACTTTCTAGCATATTGAAAAAATAAAAGATGACTTAAAAGTATTTTCATAAATTATGCAATTTCTTTCACATATGAATCAACAAGTTTGTATTCTCGAGATATATTAAAAACACTTGTATTGTTGAATCTGAAATATAGGTAGTCCCTAGGTTATGAACAGCAGACTTATATATACAACTCATAGTTATGAACCAAGCTCTGTAAAGCCTTGTTGTTGTTAAGTGCCATGATTTGGTTCTGACTCTTAGCAACCTTGTCTAGGCTTTTTGAGCAGCAGCTGGTGGATGTGAACTGCTGACTTTGTGGTTAGCAATCTAGTGCTGTAAAACCTATTACATTAAAATTCGAGGCATATACAATGGTTCATAATAATAAACAAGTGCTACTTTGCAGTGTTGTTTTATGTACCATCAAGTTGACTCTGACCCACAACAACCCTGTATAGGCATCTAACAACAACAACTTTGTAATGCACAGCAAAACGTTTATCATGACGTCAGAGATGAGATGTTGTAATGTACCTAGAAGTGTCTCCTTAATAAGTTTTATGCATACAAAGGTACACTACATACTATATGCTAAGACAAACATCTAACTAATGTTAGATACTAACTGCACCTAATTGTTCTGACTTACTCCACGGCACACAACAACAACGTACAAATTCAACTTAAAGATTCATTTAGGAATGGAACAAGTTCATCCAAATCCAAGGACTACCTTGTAGTCTTTATATCAATTAACATTTTTAAAAAACAGTCATCAATATAAATGTACCTGAAACAAAAAATTACTATTAGCCTTTCTGAAGCAAGTAAAACAAAGTTATATATAATTATGTTGTAGTTGTTAAGTACTGCTGAGTCGGTTCTGACTCATAGCAACTCTAGATAGGGTTTCCAAGAAGCAGCTAGTGGGTTTGAACCACCAACCTTGTGGTTAGCAGTCCACTGCTTATCCTATAGCACCACATCAGGATTCTTATATTCAATTATGTTGTTGCTAAGTGCTGTCAAGTCAGTTGTCAAGCAGTGACCTTGCAGTTCAAACAGACCTTACGGTCCAGTGCTTATCCTCCAGTGGCACACCAAGACTCCATATATAATTATAGTATTTTACAATATACTTGTAAGAGCATGTATTTTAACTTTTCATATCAAACTGGTATAACACAATTGTAGGCTAAAAAAGAAAAAATAATATTGTACATTTATGTGTATATAAACACTCATTCATATGTATATACGATATTGTTGTCTTTGTTGTTGGTGGTGGTGGTGTGCCATGGAGTCAGTTCCAACTCACAGTGACCTTGTATAGGGTTTCCAAAGCTGTAAATCTTTATGGGAACAGAAACCTTCATCTTTGTCCTGTAGTTTCAAACTGCTGACCTTGAGGTTAGCAGCTCAACTTGTTAACCCTACGCTACCAGAGCTCCTTGTTGTTAAGTGCCATCAAGTTGGTCCCATCAAGTGACCCTACATAGGGTTTCTGAAGAGCAGCTCATGGGTTTACACTACCAACCTTGTGGTTTGCAATTCAGTGCTCTTCCAACCTTTCCAAAATACTTTTCCTCAAACCTGCTTCTAACTACACTATATTCTAAGAAACATTTCAAATCTTTGTATAGACTCTACTGGAATAGACTGGTCTGATCTTCATTATATACTATCATTTTGTGAAAAACCATCATTTCTTTTTTTAATGGTAATTTTCCATTTGGAATGAAAAAAAAAAATTATATAATCATGCCAAAGCTATCAAGTAAGACTATGAGACAGCAATTCAACAAACATTAACTGAACATATATTATGTCCCATTGGGGGCACTATAGGATAAGCACTGGACTGCTAACCACAAAATTGGTGGTTCAAACCCATGAGCCACTCACCATAAACCCTACACAGTGTAAATCAAATCAGTGGTACATAACTACAACACTGCATTGGAGACATAAAAATCAGCTCTGTCCTCTAGGAACTGAAGAAAGTTTCAAGACATTTGAACTCCAACTTCATTTCACATTCCAAAAATATTATACATTGCTAAAACTACCAGCTGCTCCGCGGGAGAAAGATGAGGCTTTCTACTCCCGTAAAGATTTACACCCTCGGAAACCCTATACAGGGGTCGCTATGGGTCGGAACCGACTCGATGGCACATAACAACAACAAAACTGATGTTAAGAAAAAGAAGTATCTATTTCAACAATATTATTTTCAAGGTATAAAAATTTGAACTACAGATTCTTTTTTTTTATTATTTAATGCAATAAGCACCCACAATATCCTGGTGTGGAGTCCTGGTGTGGAGTCCTGGTGTGGCACTGAGGGTTAATGCACTGGACTGCAAAGTCGGTTTGAACCACAAGATCAGCTGCACTGGTCTGCAAAGTTAGTTTGAACCACAAGGTTGGCAGTTCAATCTCACCAGTTGCTACCTGGAAACTCTATGCAGGGTCACTATGGGTGGGAACCGACTTGATGACACTTCACTCTACCTCAAGGTCGGTTTGAACTGCAAGGTCAGTGGTTCATACCCATCAGTCACTCCTCGGAAACCCTATACAGGGTCGCTATGAGTCGGCACTGACTCAATGGCACACAACAACAATAAAATATGCACAATAGGAGTCCTGGTGTGGTGCTGTGGGTTAATGTGCTGGACTGCAAAGTCAGTCTGAACTGCAAGGTCAACGGTTCAAGCTCATCAGTTGTACCTCAGAAGCCTTATATAGGGTCGCTATGGGTTGGACCATCTCTATGGCAGTTAACAACAACATATGCACTATAGGAGCCCTGGTGTTGTGGCACTGTGGGATAAAGCACTGGACCACAAGGTTGGTTTGAACTACAAGGTTGGTGGTTCAAACTCACCAGCCACTCCTTGGAAACGTTACACAGGGTCGTTATGAGTCAGAACCAATTCGATAGCACTTAACAACAACAACAACACTGTGGCACTGTGCACTACAGGACACCTGGTGGCAGAGTGGGTTAAAGGTTGGGCTGCTAACCAGCAAATTCCAATGCACCAGCTGCTGGGCAGGAGAAAGCTGAGACAGACTGCTTCCAGAAGGATTCACAGTCTCAGAAACCCTCTGGGGCAATTCTACTCTGCCTTACAGATCACCAGGAGACAGCATCAATTCAGTACAGTGAGAGGCGGGCGTGGGATATGCACTGCAGAACGCCTTGTTACTAACTGAAAGGTTAGAGGTCTGAATCTACCCAGAGGTACCTCTGAAGAAAGGCCTCGTGACTTCTGAAAAATCCTATGCAGCAGTTGCTACTACGGCACACATAGGATCACCAAAAGTATGATCAACAGACAAGGTTCCTGCCCCCAAGGAGCTTTAATCTAACAGACCAGCTAACAGTGATCATATGATTATATTAAATTAGTATTTTGAGGGGAAAATACAGAATGCAAAGAGAATATATAATACATGTTAACAACTCCAGTATGACCAAACACTAGGCACAACTTCAGATGAGCGGGTTCCTAATTCAGTCAGTATGAAGGCTGAACTGTTGCAGCCCTGACTAAGCCAGTCTAGATAATGAAAGAAGACTTTCCTACAACAGTGATGTTGAAACTGACATGAAGAGCTGAGTTACTTGGGTGAATAGAAGGTTAAGCAACGCAGGCAGTGGGGATACTAAATGTGAAAGGTCTGAGGACTAATGGGAAAAATGCCTAAGACTAAAATGAAAAAAAAAAAGCAAAAGAAACTTTCCTGCATTGAATCTTACATTAAGCAATCTAATTAAAAACAAGTCTTATTACTTACTGATTCATATTCCAGTTCTGACAAAAGTCTGAAATGTTCCTTCCCCAATAATAGCAGCTTTCTCCTTCCTGTGATTGGACTCATTTCCAGGTGAGTAGAATAAAACACTAGGAATAGCAATCCAAAACTACTCATACCAAGGAATAACTTCCATTTATTCTTCCGTACACTTTGTTTAAATAGTTCCTTCTTGTTAGGAGGAAGTGCCTGCCACCATTTCCTTATGCCCCTACAGCAAAAAGAAAATTCAGTTTGTAGAGTAGTACCAGCACGTTATCACCCAAACTGCTTATGCTACAACTTGGTCATCAACATCCGGAATTCTTTCAATTTCGCTTAACATAGATGGCATTTTAAATTTAGAAATTCCTTAAATCATGAACAACTAATCAATCATGCAGAGCTATAGTTAAAAATTCTAATATTCACTTGAGTTTTTTCTTTAACTATCATAAAGGTAAATACTACATGAAGAGCTACTTTATGACTATAGCAACTACCACTAGTTAACAACTGTTGTTGTTGTTAAGTGCCGTCAAGTCCGTTCCGACCCATAGCAACCCTGTATAGGGTTTCCGAGGAGTGCCTGGTGAGCTCGAACCACCAACCTTGCAGTTTAAATGGCTTTGCAATATGGCGCATTAACCCACAACGCCACACCAGGACTCCAGTTCACAATTGTTGTT